ACATATATATCCAGTCTCCTTAGCTTTGCAAGTGCATTGAATACATTAGTATGTATTTGCATGTCAAGCACCTAAAATATAATATTTACATTTATAATCATTTGATATTATAAATCTATGCACTAGTAACTAATAAAAATATTTTTATGTGATGTTAAGGATTTGAGCGGAATGCATGTAAACATGAAAGTTTAGGGGTTAGATTTGTAATTCTATAAAAAAAAATGAAACGCTCTTTATTTTGAAATCCGACCTTTCGATATTCCTCACATTATTGCAAGTTAATATGTAGCTATAAGTTCGAGCAAAACTTACTACTATGAATTCTAATATATTTCCTTTATTTCTATTAATATGTAAATATTTAATTTTATCATGCTTATTCTAATACTCTATTTCAATATTATAAATTACTCATTTTTAACATCTTACATTATAAAATTTTACAAACTATACTTAATATTTACTCTACTAAATGAAATCCTTTAATATAATAAATATTTTATTTATTATTCTAATTTTTACATATTTCATTAAATATCTATCATATATAAAAATATACAATAAGATACTTTATTTTAGATATCAATTATTAACATGTACATTTCAACCTAAATGTATTCCAAGTCACTTTTCATATTAATTGATCATAGGCTTTCTCAATATTAATTAAAATTATCATTATAAGCTTAATTAATAATGAATTAAGAGCATAATTTTTTTTATTAATAATTTTTATTGTTTCATTTAATCACTAAATATTCTTATTGATATATAGATGGGGATGCTATTAGAAAAATTCAAGTTGGATGGTCGAAGTGGAGAAATACATTGGGCCTATAAGATGGTGGTGAGGCATGCAATGCCTTATGACGCAAAATGTTGGCCTTTAAAAGAGATGTATAAAATTGCGTTAAGTGTTGCTAAGATGAGAAAGCTTAGGTGGACGAGTGGATTGACACTCAGAGACAAAATGCAAAATGAATGTATACGTGAAAGGGTAGCATTGGTGTAGCTCTAGTGACAGACAAGATTAGAGAGAGTTATCTTAGATGGATTGGTCGCATTAAACGTCGATCATCTGATGATCCGGTTAGGAGAGTAGATGCTTTAGATTCGACTTACATTAAAAAAAGGTAGAGGTAGACTTTAAAGACTTGGTCATGTCGTATAAAAAAATGATTTTAATTTATTAGAATTAAATGAAAATATGATACTCAATAAGATAATGGAGAAAAAATGATACTCAATAATTATATGCAGAATTATAATTCACTGTCAGTCATATATCAGATAAAAAAAACAGCAATGAATGCAACAAAATCAGTCCACACGAGCATTGTTTTTGGTCATTACTAAACATAGGATAAGAAAGAAATGTTTTACAAAGGAAGCTTTCCATGCTACCTCATAGCAAAATCAGAGAACAATTTGTACAAATGGGACTCTCATCATGGTTAAGAATCCATCCTGTTGCAGCAGTGTGATTATGAAAGAAAATATGTCCAGCAGATAACCATTTGGTTATCTTACCAGAAAGCACCACTCAGTCAGTCTGAAAATCTCCTTGAAATAATTAAAACAAGTTGCTGACTACATTTGCTGTGAAACCAATTCCATAAAAGCAGGAGTAAGCAAATATAACAAAGAAATTTGGTGAAGAGAAATAAGAAAGCATTGATTCAACTCACTTATGCTCCCAAGTATTCCATTAAGGCTTCATCATCTATCTGGAAGTTATCGATGTCAATAAGCGGACTACTGAGAGCAAAGGGATCCATGGCCAATTCGACGGAACTATCAAATTGACCAATGAATTTATCTGAATCAATAGGATATGTCTGCTCTATGAATGGTTGCATGTCCCTGGGAGCTGAGTTTGAACCTCCATTCAGTGGCAATGAATCCCTGTTAACAGGATTGATGGCAGGAAATGAAACATTCATGGGATTGACAGGATGATCTACTAAAGGCGCAGTGAATTCTTCATATTGTCTTCCTGTATAAAGTAGCGGCTGTCCGGCAACAATCATGTTTTGCACGCCAACATTTATAGGAGAGGGATGAAACATTCTGTTCGTCATGGGTTGAGAGAACAGGAGTTGATTTCCAACATGATTTGTTTGAGTTGCAAACAATCCATCTGTACTGTACACTTCCATGAGATGAGACCATTAGCCTGCATGAGACCATTAGCCTGCATGAGACCATTAGCCTGATCTTTTGCTAATGGAAGGTCCATCAAATTCATTGAACTAAAACCATTTTCTGGTTTTAAAGCAACATCTCTATTCTGGTGTTCACCAGTGGACTGATGCGAGGGATTTGAATCAAGGCGAGGCCTTTTATGCCTCTGTCGTTCATTAACTTGATCTTTCTTCCGAACAACATGACTCGAATTTTCCTGCTCCTTTGCTGTTGAAGCAATGATTTCCAGGGAAGGTTGATTCTCCATATGCTGAGTTTTTCCAGCACCCATTGAAGATGCAGAACCAGGAGCACCAGCAAAATCATTAACGTCATATTCACTGCTACTGTTAGTATCATCCTGCCTTTCTTCTTGAAGGCTCTGCTGATTTTCCGTTACTTCAGACGTTACGTTATCGCCGCTGAGTTGCTGCGCGATCATTTCCTCCCTACTCAACACCCCTAACCATATCGCGCTCTCCTTGGCACTCATCTTATCCTGCAAACACTTTGATTTCCTGATATGGGTTCTGACCTTGTCAATATTTGGAGACATGTGCTTGATGACACCAGTGAGCACTCCAACTTTCCAAATCTTTTTCAGATCATGAGGCTTCTTATAAGGAGAGACCTGGCCCTTTGGTAATCCCAAATTCATCCACCAATCTTCATTCCCAGAAGGCCACCAAGGGGGTGGATGACCCTTTTCCAGTGGATACTTCCGTTGTGGCGGATCGCAGTGTTGCATCAATGAAGATAAGAGAGATCCCAAGGTAGCATCTTGAAGATCCATAAGGCTATGACAGTTCTTGCTAGAATTGTCTTTATTCCCAGTAGCAGAAATCTCCTCTTCATAAACTGTTATAGCTGAAGGTCCATTCTTATCAAACTTTACCTTTTCCTTCCACCATGCTCTTAAATTATCCGAGGCGCCACTTACCGGCTTTCCCTTGTCCGGAACTATCCCATAAACGAAGCCCCTAGCATTGCATACTTCCACTAACTTCAGCATGTACTTGAGAATGCCATCTTGGGCTCGCGACATCTTTTTTCTAAGTGCCTGGTCTGACGGCTGCTTCGCTTTCGGTTTCTGAGAAGCTTGTAGTTCAGCAAGCCTCAGGTTCTCTCTGATCCTTTTAAGCTTAATTCTGTCCTTCCACATTCTTCTCGACAAGGCTTCCTCATCAATTTCTTCGTCGCTAACATCATTTTCCGTTAGATTTTCACAACGAACATCATCCCCCTCAAACTCTAAACCATCAACCACCACAAAATTGTTCATCATTGGAATCAAATATCAAAACCACCTTCTGCTCAACGATGAAATGCCACCACTCAGCATTACCCAATAGAGTTCAAAATCCTGATGAAGATCTGCCAAATAAACAGAAACTGAATAAAGAACAACATTCTATCCACAAATTTGCATCAAACGTTTTTCTACATTCTAAAAATCAAATATTAAATTCACATTTCAACAAGTTCTAAGCAAGAACTCCAAATGTAATTGCTAGAATCAACACCAATCCGCTTCTATACAACATCATAAAACTAATTAAACAAACCAATACTTCATAATCAACAACCCATAAAACACAATCTGACCATACCATTACAGCAATCAAAGAATCCAGACAAAAAAATTACAGCAATCTAAGAATCCATGACAATGACATAAACAAAACAACTAAGCATAAAACACAATCCCAGCATAAGAATATCAGATGAAATCAAACCAAAAACATCGACATCATGGTTCCTAATTCAGACTTTCACCCCAAGCCCAAATTAAACCCTAGGGGGAAGAATCGGAACCTTAAGAAGAACCGTTCCGCAGCAATCAACGAAGGCACAAAACGTGAACCCTAACCAACCAATCCAAGCTCAAATCTTGGGTAATAAACAAGTTCTTACCAGCAATCGAACCGCCGCAAATTCCTCTCCTCCATTAAACCCCTTCGCCTTCAATCTCTGTAACCTAGGAGGAACGGAAACGTCGGGAACGGATTCAACAGACGGTCGATAGAATTTGCTGAATTAAAAAATATCACTGTAAATTAGGAAAAAAAAAAAAAAAAACAGCAAAGCAGCTTCCTTTTTTAGGTTGCGGGTCCAAGTTGGGCAGTGAAAACGGGCAGGATAATATTTATTGGATTAAAATTATTTATTTATTTATTTATTTATTCATTTAAATTTATTTCACGGAAGCAAATAGCTTTTTTGCCGGGGAGTTCACTGTTAATATATATAAATAATATATTATATTAATTACATAACTTATATTACATAAATATATAATATATTACTAATATAGTATATTAATATATTATTATTATTATTAATTTATTTATTATATATTATAATTTATAAAATTTAATTTTTTAAAAATATCATAATTTTGTATATATAATTATTTTAAGTTATTTTATATTTTGAAGAATAACGATTCGAACAAGAACGAACGCATCACTGTTTGTATTTGATTCGTATAACTAACCGAACGAAAAAAAAATTGTTTACATTCGTCTCGTTTACTTTTCGAACGAATCGAACACAAACTCATTGACGAACCGAACACGAAGTGTTCGCGAACAACGAGCTTTTTTTGTAGGGTTTGTCTTTCATATAGATTGAGAAAACTCTTGCAAATCCGTGTTTTTCGAGAATCATCTAGTGTCCTTTTGCGAACCATTTTCATGAACGTGTTATAGATATGATTTTCTATTTATTAACTATGTTTTTTTTATAAATTTGGAGTCATATACTTTAAGATAATAACATTAAATAATTGAATAATGTTTTATTCTAAATATCCATTCACACTCCCTACACACCATGACTCTTGAAAAAGATATATGATGATGAGATCTTACTCTACTATGATTAACTTATTATAAGGGACTGGTAGGTTTTTCAAAGTCTATTGTAAATACTATAAATTGGGATCATGATGCTAGACATTTTTGGGAAGCATTCAATCAATCACATAAATATATGTGTCAATCAAATAATATATAAAATAAGAGTCCGCAGATCGATCGCACGAGAAAAATTGTCAACCATTAAAATAGGTCATGAAGTTCAGTTTAAGGGTTCCGTTTTAAAAAAGTAAAAGGTTTTGTTGTTCTAATTTGAAATAAAAAATAGCACCTTTGAGGTTTTTCATTGGTTATAGGGGTCATGTTCTTGTGACACCAACTTAGCGATTCCTCAATATTTTTCCCATGAGTTTCCCACCAGATAGTTAAATGCCAGTGACAAATCCTCCTAAATTTATTCTTAGGCCACACGAAGCATTGGAAATCTTATTTTCAGTTAAGGTGACTTAACTATACAATATTTCACAGAAATTCTCTAGTACCTTATATTGGCTGTAATTTTCTAATGATGATATATCTATTACACTAGGTTATTGTATGTTATCCTACTTGTTTCGCTAGGTGGAAATTAGAAGTCCTATATCACAAGCGTTATTTAACTTCTTAAATAGTCACGTTAGGAGTAATCTATGATCAAAGGTTAAGATAATAACATGTGAAATTCGAAAGCACAACCAACATTTACAAGAAAACTCTCGATGAAAATAACAAGAACAACACTATCGTTACATCAGAGAGACATGAAAGCCTACTAGCTATGAGACATGACGTAAAGAAACATAGAAACTTTTTTTAATCACATTGAAGATAGTAATAAGTAAATGTATACAAACTGACAACTAAGCCAAATTTTCTCTGCAATACATTGAATCCTCACAGTGCAATGAAAGAACTCCACAATCTCCGTCATACACAACCTAGATCTCTTTTTCTCACACACAAAACATCGCTTTAAACTCAAAGCAAATGTTGCCATAGGAGATTCTTCCCAAAGAGAGAGGAAGGGCAACCATATTACTTGATGAAGAAACTGTAAAACTACAAAAAGAAAGCCTCCAGCCAAGCAATCCTCCTCTACGTCATGCCCAAGCTCTCTTTATAGAAACAAAGGCCTTCTGCCATGAAATCTTTGCCAAAATAAGCCTTCGAATTTCAACGATGTAGCAACGACCAGCCCCTTTGTAGTTATACTGCAGGATGACGTAGCTACACTAATGCTTGATGTTTCTACGACCATGGTCGTGTTTTTATTGCGCAACTGCATTCAAAATATGTAACCTACAAAATACCACTAAAATATTATCCACAAGCATAGACATATCATAAACACCTGGATTTCAGTTCATGCACATGCAATGCAATTCTTTTGTCATTACATACATTACACTTTCAAAAGTAACAGTTCAATTACATGCACACCTTGCAACTCTTCTGTATTTGCACACATAACACTTATGGTCCGTTTGAGGCAGCTTATAAGTGCGAGCAGCATTTTCAAAACGCCGCCGTATTGTTTGGTTCACGCTTTTCACCAGCTTATCCGAAACTGTGTTTGGGTTTTTACACTAAATGCAGGCCGCGGGTCGACCCCTGCAGTCGGCCCGCGGGCCGCGTTTCAGGATAAACAGCTTATCCTGAAACGCACAAGCTGCCCCAAACAGACCCTTAGAAAAAATAAGAAAAATTAAATTTACAAACATACCATACAATTCTCGAGTATCTACATGCTTAACACTTGAACTTCATATTTACATATATGCCACTCAATTAGTATATTTACAAGCTGAACACTCAAAAGGTTATCTATACATGTGACACGCAACTCTTTTGTATTTACATGCTCAGCACCTAAACATAATATTTACATGCATGCCACATAATTTTTACGTATCTTTATATCTTTCTATCAAGAAAATATTGCTTACAGAGCCTGTACAAAGTCCATACACAAGCAACTTCTGAACAACGGACGTGTTCCGGTGAATCGCGTCCGTTGTCCGGACTGTCACAGACAAATAGTCCCAAATTGGCTAGGTGTAGGGCTGAAAAGTAGTATTTAAGTCCTATTATTTAAGTCACCCATAAGGGCTCTTTTGGGAGGTGACAAGTGGTATCAGAGCAGATTACTATCTGCCAAGTGTGTGGACTCTCCATGGTCCAGTGGGACCATCGGTGGAGCCGATCCGTGACGAGTGCGTCACGTGATTGGGTGGAGGAGAATGTCACAGACAAATAGTCCCACATTGGCTAGGTGTAGGGCCGAAAAACAGTTTTTAAGTCCTGGCCGCCCACCACCCATAACGGCTATATTTTTCCTTTATATGTGATACATATTCTTCAATATTTATATACATACCATTTTACGTATGCACGAAGAGTCGTTCTTCGTGCGTCGCATTTTAAAAATTAGATGATTAAATTTTTTATATGCCACAAGAGATTTGGGTGGTGTAAATGTAAAATTTAAAGTTTAGATGATAGATATGTAAATAGATAATATCTTAGTGGCATGTATGTATGTACGTGCCACTATTACATATTCCGGACATGTTATTTTACATTATCAAAATGAATATGAGCTCGGTTGGCAGCTTCTCCTTTAGATCATGGAAGATTTTACATGCATACCATCTAATTCTCATGTATTCACATTTTCAATACCTAAACTTTGATATTTACATGCATACCATAAACCATTCATTTTCTTACATATTTACCCACTTAGCACATAAACATTTCTATTTATCTTTCAATCTTTGTGATTCAAGTGTTAAAAGATCCGGGTTCATGCAAATACATAAGAATTGGGCGGTATGCATGTGACGAGTCTTTATAGTATGTTTATAACCTACGCGAAACAATCATACTCCGCACTAAACATATGTTTCAAACATCATCCAAAATCAACATAAACGGTTCGAAAACAAAGTTTCAACGTCTTAAATCTCTTCCACTTTACGAAGAACTTTCCTAATTTGGTTATTTTGAAAGCCCTTAAAATCTAATTGAAATCTCAAAAATTTGATAAAACTCTAATTGGGAAGTGTGGAAGTCATATATTTGTAATTTTTCTGAAAATTATAAATGTGTCCTTGTTTGCTTTTCAAATCTCGAAAGTGAAATTCACAATCCTAAAAATTTGTTAAACCTAACTGAAATCATTAATGAAAGACAAAAAAACAACTAAGGGCCCGTTTGGGGCAGCTTATAAGTGCGGGGGCATTTTTGAAAACGTCTCGGTACCGTTTGGATCACAGATTTTGTCTGCTTATTCGAAAACGCGGTTCCATTTTTACACTGAACGCTGACCATGAGTCGACCCCCATAGTCGACCTGCGGGCCGCGTTTCGAACAAAAATTAAATTTTAAACAAGTAAATTTTAAACAATACTTAAATAATTAACTCTCCAAACATATGTAATAAGTCCAGAGAGCCGACACAATTTGTTGGTCTTCAAAACTATTCAAACTTTAAATTAATCAATGTTCTATATAATATCTCTAATAAGGTTAAAGAATATAATTGCTCCTATTTGACACGACACAATTTGCATACTTCCACAATAGAATTCCTATGTTTATTACTGATTCATGATAAGGAGAATTTTTTTTTCAAATTCAGTGCTTTTCTTTTACATAAATTTAAGTTATCTTTTTAAATTGTTACTGTTTTGTCAAAATATCAAAAATACCAAAAAAAATTGAATTGAATTTTAATTACTGTGAATACATCTCGCTAATACATCTCTAGTTTACGTAATTGTCTTTTTAAAATAGAAAGTTTGTTGTTCAATAGAGCATATTGTATAATTTCCCTGTGGTTTTGATATTCAGGTCTTAATCAAAAAGTCTTATATTACTTGATAACGATACGTATACTTGCGTAGTATCCTGATATATAAATTAAAGAGTTAAATTCTTATTTGTTTCATGATCAAGTTTTGACTCTGTTGCAAAGTAAGGAAATATAAGTGAAAAATATAATCAGCGACATTGTTATACTGTTGTATATAAGCAGTTATCGGGGAATATGAGTTTTTGGTGCCGATGCCGGGGATTAAAATCTTCAAGTAGTGGTGTCAACTTCATAGATCCTTACATATAAAAAATAATCGGGATCAATGGCTACAATTGCTAACATAATGGAAATTCATAGCATTTGCATTCTCATTG